GGAGGGAAAAAGACAACTTATCATCATAATGTCGCATGGATAGAGTGCTGAAAAATAAACAAATAATAAAGAATAAAATTGACCTCAGAAACCAAAATAATAAAGAATTTTTATATAATAAAGGATTTACTTACTATAATAAGGAACAAAATTGACCTCAGAAACCAAAATTGTATTTCATATATGCATCTGAACAGAAAAGGTGAGATTTTGATATATTGAAATAATTTATTATAAGACAATAATACTAATTAGAAGACAAACTATACACTGAGTCCGATATACTACTCAATGCTATGCAATACAGGCATTGACATTTTGTTCATTTATTTTTTTCAAAAGTATTAGTAATGATTATATAGTACTGAATAAAACAAAACTAAATGTTTCTCCTTTATGCTTCTTTGAGCCAGAAAAGATAAAAGAAATTCCAAAAAACTCATGTAAATATAAGAAATAATTTGTTAGTAAGTGCTAAGGAGAAAAATAGAGCTGTGCAATGACTGTGCAAAATGACAGGCATAGGATGGTCTCTGCTGGTCTCTGTGTGGAGGCAGCATTTGGGCAGAGAACCGAAAGAAGAGCGGGAGAAGCTTTTGCAAAAATCAGATGTGCATTTCAAACAAAAGGAATATTCGATGCATAATCTGATGCATCATGAGACACGAGTGGTTTGACAAATTTGAGAAATGGCGAAAAGAAAGCAGGATGTGAAGATGAGTGAGTGAAGGGATATGGTCAGGGACGTAGATGTGTGGGTGTTAGATGAAGCAGGAGAGGAGGAGGGAGTATCACAGGGTCTATTGATCATTTAATGACTTTAGGCTTTATTTTGAATAAAATGGGTAGTATTTCAGCACTTTTAATCAGAATTATGACAATCTTGTTTATGTCCAGAGTCACTTTGCATTTTTTCCAGGAAAGACATCTGATTTCCTACATTTAATACTGTAGGGACTGCTCCTGGCTCTAGGAATGCAGTTCAGGCCAGGATGTATCAGGAGCTATGGTGAGCAGTCTCTTTCAAAACTTCCATCTGGTACGAGGGGTCAAAGGTTGGGAAGTGAATGGGAAGTCCCCTGCTCCTCCTTTTCATCTACACCAAGGTTTCCTCCCAGGACTTCTCATTAACTCTCATTCCAAGACAGAGGATAAACATGCCTGAATGATGAATCCCGTAGAAATGAGCTTCACAAGCCATCGACTGGAGCAGAGAAGACAGATGGTGGATCTGGAAGAGCAAGTGCAAATTATTTGGCACAACTGCAGTCGACTATATGCTCCACGACAGCATAACAGATCCACCATGTTCATTTATTCCCAGTTCCAAAGACAAAGCACAGTAAATAGGGCACATCAAACTTCCCTGTAATCGGCGCCTGAACCATCCTCTTTTTATCTACCTATCCAAATTCTTATTTTATACTTGGAGATGCAGTATAAATACCATCTCTGAGGATTTTTTTATTTTATCTTATTTTCTTCTCCTGTTTCTTCCTCACATCACCTATGACCTCTCTATGTGGACATGGAATGAATTTTTGTTCTGCTTTTACATGCAGCCTAGTAATTACTTTCACTGTATAGGCACCCTTTGATACCCCATAGGGCAGCTCACAGGAGAAATTTAATTTTAACCCATTTTGAATCCCTTCAACAATAAGAAAAGCAATTTTTAAAAAATCTCTGAATTACCAGGACCTAACACAGTTTCTAATGTAGAGTAGCAGCTCGATTAATATCTAGTGAATTGTGTGTATTAACGAATGAACAAATGGATGAATGAATCTAGAAAAAAACTGTTGCAATTAAAAATATTTAAGTACCTCTTGCCTCCATGTTTTTCTCTGATTCTACTTATAATATGCTTGCTATTTGCTTTCAGGGAAATTTTTAAACTAGCACATTCGCTAGATAATTCAGTTCAATACTTTACCTACAGAACTGTATCAAATTAAAGTCTGCTTCCTTATTTGACATTCCTGTCTCCTTGCCCTGGTCCTTCTAACGTGATCATGAAGTTGCTATGAGTGAGTGTGGTATGATTGATTAAATACATTCTACATAGCAAGTGTCTGCCTGCATACATATGCCATCACCTGAGGAAAAGCCAAGTGACTAAAATAGGCACAAACATTTTATTCTACCAAAAATAATCATCTATAATGGACAAAAGCGGAAGTGAAATTATATATGAAGACAAAACAATGCAAAATATGTTGACAAGCACTAACTCCCAAAATATAAGATATATGAGACTTTTACATTATAAAAACAAAATGGTTAATATTTGATGCTATGAAGTTCTTTGCATGTTACAAAGGTTCTTAGCATTATCTACTCCCGGACACCAAACTGACCTACTTGGAAAAGAAAACCTTTTTAGTGAATGAAATCAAATGTTCAGTAGGGCGCTAGGATTTTCATTACCTAAATGTATGACTATGTCAATAGTCATGTTGTTCTTTGTCATGAATCTAAGAAAAATAAGTTGTCACCTCTGAAAGTCACTTTGAAAACTATGTAAATGCTAACACAGAAGAGTCATGTAATAACAAAAGCCTCTTTTATCCTTTACTGAATGTTTTTATTTTTAATTAAATGAAAATTAATTATTCTATGAAAATTGGAAATAATTATTCCATTGGAAAATTTTCAGTAATATGTCTATAGTACAAATTAATTATTTTTATTTTGTTATTGAATCTCAAGGTAGATTTGGCTTTGACCAGACAGTCACACTTCAACTCTGAATCTTGTTATTCTGCCTATATTGAATGACATTTTTTATGTGTAAATATGGGAGAGGAAAAAAGTGAATGCCTACTTTACAGCGTCAGCATTTCCTTTAAGCTTAATAATATTTTGATTTTAATGAATACAATAACAGACCAATATTAGATAACCAATATGTATGTATTTCCTTTCAAAGTAACACATATACTAAAATTGACTTGAATTATATTTCCCTAAATGAGTATTTTCTCTCTGCTATTTTTATAACTCTTTCTAAGTCTGATATTTACACTGTACTGTTATATATTTCCTCTTCTCTATTTTCAAAGATAGGTCAAATAGTAATAACTTTTTTCATTTATGCAAATAATCTATGTTTATAAGCAAAACATAGCATATGCATTAAAAATTTGCATCTGAAACTGTTTTTGTTGTGTAAGAGTGACTGCTCACAGAATATTTTAAGTTTACCATCCTTCATTTTATTGGTTATTATTCTGTGATTAATTTAAAAAGTCACCCGAGCATTACAAGTACTTTGACACTACAGAAGCAGATCTCCAAATAAGTTATTCTAAATATTACTATCATGGAAAACCTAAGTATATGCTCTCTTTCCCACATGACATCATTGCACTTGGATGTTGAATTACTTCAACTCTAAGAGTAATGGAAACTGGGGCCTATCATTCTCATTATAAAACTAGAGAAAAAATTAAAGTCAGAGAAATAAATTAGAAATGTAAACTCTTATGGGCCAAGCATTCTCCTGTGTATTTAGTCCTAACGACCTTTTGAGGTGGTTACCCTTATTACCCCCACTTTACACATGAACTGTGACAGAGAGAAGCTATATGCTTTTCTTAAGGTCACATAGGTTTTTCCTATTAGAATAAGGCTGCAGGCTCAGAGCATGTAGCTCCAGATTTTAGTCTCTTAACTCGTATCCTTTTAACATAAGTTAGTGTTTGTCCATGCTTCGCCCCACAGACACTTACACTATATTTTCTTTATTTTCAGTACTAATTTTTCCTAAGTAAATTCAGGTTGTTCATTTGTTTGGCTCAAGGACTTATAGATTTAATGCACTTGATGTAGTTGCATTGGTAATATGGAATCAGATATCTTCCAGATCATGGTGATCAAACAGCCAAATCCCTTGGGAATTGAATCGTGGACAATGAGTTCGAGAGCAGTATGCTTACTGTCCAGAACACTTATCAAAAGACTGCAGAGGAAATGTCTACACACACTGGAGTAGTGTATGCATTCAATATTGGAGACATTGATGTCAAAACACTAGCCAGATTAGAGTTCAGGAATGCACTTCTGTGCTGCTATGCAAAGATGTGCCAACTGGGCAAAATGCTCTCTTCCAAACTAAAGCAGGGATAACTAGAGCACTCTCAATTACTTCCTTTGCCAAGGGAAGGAAAAGGGCAAGAGAAGGGTCTGCTGAATTCCTGTGAGTTACTGTTGGGCAACAGGGAAAGGGGTTGATCTTTGTGCTATGTTTGCCCTTAGAAACAAACTTCGTAGATGAGACAACACTTGACCCAACAAACTTCAGTTGGATTGATTACACTTTCTCATGCTCTGAGTCTCTTGAAGAAGAGGTCTGGGGACTTGATCGCTAAGTCAGCCAAAATTGATGCATCCTCAGACACAAGTCTTTTCTCATCCCACTTACAAAACTTCACGTCAGGCTCCAGAATCTAGATTCTTACATGTAAGGCAGGTGAGGAGCCAAGTGAACAGGTATTGATTCTAAAGGGTTAAGATATGGGTAACTTAGAAAGCAAAATATGAGTGACCACTCTATTGAAGTGTTTTTTTTTTTTTTCTTTAACTTTTAAGTTCAGGGATACATGTGTAGGGTGTGTGGGTACCACAGGTTATATAGGTAAACGTGCACCATGGTGCTTGCTGCACAGATCAGCTCATCACCTAGGTATTAAGCCTAGCATCCATTAGCTATTCTTCCTGATGCTCCCCCCTCCACCCATGCCACCCCCAACAGGCCGCAATGTGTGTTGTTTCCCCATCCATTTGTTCTGGTATTCTCATCGTTCAGCTCCCACTTATAAGTGAGAACATGCAGCGTTTGGTATGCTCTTCCTGTGTTAGTATTCGGCTTCCTCAAGTTTCCAGTTTTCTCCCTGCAGATCAGAGAAGTAGGTGTGTCCGGGAAGAGGAGGGGAGGAGAATGTGTTTTTGACTTGGTTGCATCTTGTCTGAGACAACAGAAGTCACTGATCACATACCTCTTGTTTTACAGCCTTTATGTTGACTCCTTACAAGATTGCTATGGCAGAGCATCCTAAGAGCAGCAAGAGGTGGTGTTCCCAGGTGTAAGTGAATGTCAGTTTTTTCTGTTGCCATGTATCCTAATTTCCCATTGACTCAAAATCATTGCATGGCAATTTAATGGTAACAGGTGGAAAAAGATTACATCCATTGAACGGAGAGAAAAAACATGGCAGTTTTTAATTTACCATGATGCTAAATGATCATCAATTAGGAAGAAGTGAGTGGGAAGATTCAAAATTATTTGAACAATGCAAAAGGGGGAACATATCAGAAAAGAAGTTAATAAACCAACATGACTGTAACCATTAGTGAGTTGATATAGAACTAATGCCCAATGTATGTTCCTCATAACTCTAAGTGAGCATAATTTTGTTTATGCAGAAGTGTAAAATAAGTCATTCTCTCTACTATCTGGTAAGAGCCTTCTTTCAATAATCACTCACAATAACATTGGTTTATGAAGCAAAAGGAAATAGATTAAGTCCTAAGACTTTATTAAACTTCCTCATCTTAAATTCCAACAGCCTAATTGGGCTCTACATTTCCTTAAAAATCCAGAACATATATAAACCATTAACTTCTAGGTATTAATATGTAATCCTCAGAGTCAACAGAGGAATAAAAATACTAGTGTTTCTTAGGGTTGACTGAACATGGATGAAATTTTCTCTTTTAAATTTTACAAAGTCACTAACTGAACTAAAGATTTAGGGGAATGGAATACTATGAATAACAATAGTTCTGATATCTCAACTTTTGAAATTATTCAGAGTAAAAAGTGAACACTTTGGGTACTATTATTTCAGGAACAGCATCTTGCTACTTACTCTGCCTTTAATAATGACCAAATACCAATGTATTGCAGCACATCCGATAACTGGAAAATTTTTTTCCTTCATTTTAAGAAATGAGTTCAGGATTTCCTTATACATACGGTCATTTTCATCCATAAAGTTTGCATATTTGTCCACAAAATTACAAGATTTAAATTTAGTAACACAAAGGACCAGAAGTTGAAGGCATTGATATTATGCACCAGTATGATTAGCCTTTTTTATTTCAGCCATCTGATAACGTATTTCTCTACAATTTTGTAACACATAATGGCCATTTGACTTAAGTTAGCAAGTAAAAGATGAACATAAATTGTCTATGTTCCTTCTTGTATGAAAATATAGTCAGCGCTTGAGCTGCCATGTCCTCTTCCTATCTTGTGGAAATGTTGCAGAGATGAAGTGTCTTTTATTGTGGTCACCTGAGTGACTATGGTGATCAAAATCCTCTTCCTTCCTTCACTCCTCTTGCACCAATCTCGATTAAATATTTAGTTTGCTACAGAAGCAAATCTGATGGTTTTACTCCTTGGGATTCTGGAAGATTTGTTACCATAGTATATAAGAGCCCACAAAACAGAAACTAACACCTAGAAATCAGGTATTATCGTAACAGCAGCAACAGCAACAACAACAACAACAACAAAAAAAAACAAAACAAAACAAAACAAAAAAAAAAACTAGCAGTTGTCTAAGAAACTGTTATAAACATCTTAAATACTGGTGACTAGTATAATGCAGTAGTTATATGTTTGGTAAAATTGTCAATAGTGATAACTAGAAAAGCAAATAACGTACTTAATAAGCTCAGTGAACTTATGGATTGAGGCTGGAAAGTTGGAAATTATCAATGTGCACTTGCTGTGTTTGGCAAGGTCTTGCAAAAGAGAGATAAGTGCTCAAAAGAATTAATGAGCTCATTTGCAGGCAGGGATGAAAAGAACCACAGATTGTAGAGGCAATTGGGGGGTGGGGAGGGAAGGGAAGGTGGAGAGGGATAACATGGGGAGAAATGCCAGATATAGTATGCACCTAAAGTAAAATAAATAATTTTTTTAAATAAAATAAAATTAATGAATTAATTTAAAATTTTTTCAAATTAGGGAGTTTATGAAAGTAGTATATTAGTATATTTTCTCAATCTGCTGAAAACACCTTCATTAAAGCCAACAAATTAAATATTTGCATTTAAAAAAGTTATAAAGCAAGAAGAGGCAAGTGCTACCTTATAAAACTCAGTAAAATATAAAATTGAATAACATTTGTAGCAACTGATTCATAAGGCAAAAAGCAAATCAATAGTATGGCCATTACACTCATCGGAATTAAAATTACTTGATCACGGTGGTATTTATTCAATCCTTTCACTTGAAATCATGGCTCACAGAAATGTTACTGAAAGTGTCGTCTTCCCTTTGATAGGCCCAAGGTGCACACAATTAAGTCAAAAGATGTAGCATAATATGAAAGACACACAATTTTTAAGAATTACTTCCAGCAAATATATGTAGGTATGGCCATTGGCTATGGAAACAGAATGAAATCAAATAAATTATTGATAAAGTTTTATTGAATATTCTGGTTTGGCTGTGAGCCCACCCAAATCTCATCTTGAATTATAAATCCCATGTGCTGCGGGTGGGACCTGGAGGGAGGTAATTGAATTATAGGGCTGGGTCTTTTTTATGCTGTTTTCATGATAGTGAGTAAGTCTCACAAGATCTGATGGTTTTATAAAGGGGAGTTCCTCTGCACACGTTCTCTTGCCTACCATCACGTAAGACATGACTTTGCTCCTCATTTGCCTTCTGCCATGATTGTGAGGCCTCCCCAGTCATGGGGAACTGTAAGTTAAACCTCTTTCTTTTGTAAATTACCCAGTTTTGGGCATGTCTTTATTAGCAGCATGAAAACAGACTAATACATTAACAACCCCACAGTGACTTTGAACAGACAAAATTAGAAAAACATCATTTTGAAACAACAAATAAAAATGAATGAGCAACCAAACAACATCAAAACCATCTGTAAATATTTGATTCTTTGTTTTTTGTTTTTTGTTTTTATTTTTATTTATTTATTTATTTATTGCTGTTATTTATTTGCTTAACCGGATTTTTAAGTTTTTTTTTTTAATTGGATTTTAGGTTTTGGGGTACACACTGGGGTCCATTGGGGGGAAATGGGGGAGGGATGGGGGGGAGGTGGGAAGAGATAGCATGGGGAGAAATGACAGATACAGGCGAGAGGACGGAAGGCAGAAAACCACACTGCCATGCGTGTACCTATGCAACAATCTTGCATGTTCTTCAATGTTTGATTCTTATAATAATCCCTAGACCCCAAGCTCCTAGAAGCAGAAGGGAGGCTTGAGAAGGGAAAACACTCAGCAAATGTGCACTTCAGATGATTGCATATGGGTCGAAAAGGAAGAATTTTCAAGAGAGTGGATTTAGGAGTATGGAGAAAAATGACTAGCAATCCTTTACCAGGTAACAGAGGTAACTTACACTACAACTGCCAAGATAGAAGGCCAAAGAAACATCTTTCCACTTGGATTTCAAACTTACTTTGAATAATAACTATGGTGTAGCCTACTCCTGATTCATTTTTTATTAGTTAATTTTGTATTTGGAGAGAGACTGTAAGGTGAATATAGATATTTGTTTTTTTCATTCGTGAATATCCAAGTCAAGAAGAGCTATAGTATGACACAATATAGATGCTGCTCTTTATTGTCCCTAATGGAGAAATTACGTGCATCATCAATAGATGATAGACTTTGAGCCTGATGATTTGGATGTATGGAATCATTATTGTCAGAAGACACTGAGTCTACTTTTTTGTAGGATAAAGAGTAAACCAAATACACCCAGCCCTTCAGTTTCTTCTTTTAGGCAGGCAGTAGTATTGCATTTTCCTGCCCTCCTACTCTTGAGTTTTAGAACAGCCATGTGATTTGATTTTGAAAATAAGAATGAAAGTTGTCTTAGTGGTTTTTACTAATACACCAATGGGCATACAATGGGTAGCTAACAAATAAGATAAATTTCTTTCTTACAGTTCTGGAGATTGGAATGTCCAAGATTGAAGTGCCAGCAAGACCACAGTTTTTTACTTTATCCCCCATGGTGGAAGATATGAACAAATTTTTCTGAACCTATTTTACAAGAGCACTAATTCCACCCATAAGGACCTTGTCTTCATGATCTAATGACCTCCCCAAAACATCAGCTCATAATATCATGATCTAGTGGTTCGAATTCCAACACATTTTTTTTTTTAGGGGAAGCAAAAATTGAAATCATAGCAGAAGTGGCATCTTTTATTGTGCTTAGTCTTATGAGCCACTGGCTGACTTGCCAGTGCAGGTTCTATCCTGGTAGTGATCATGAACTATGACCAAGGAAGCATTGATGGAGAGGATAGATCAATCAATCAACTAGGACACCGACTTTCTTCCATGACTGTGATAGAAAAGTATACTATGCTGTGCAATGAAATATGGATGTGATCATTTCTAAAGAATAACCTTGCAGAAAATTTGTTATTTGACACAGTTGTACATTAGAACATTTAGCAAATGTCAACTTCTCCAAACCTCATTATGTAAACACTAAATTGAAGAAATAATGCCTGTCCCTCTCTCTGTGAGAAGATGCCTGTGAAATTTTGTTCTAGTTTTAATACTATGAAAATAATGTCATAGCTATAGAATGGTTGAGTCAGGAGAGTACGAATAGACAAAAAATGAAGTTTTACAAATAATCACTTAAAATTTAAAGAATTCAAAATTGCAGCCACATTCTTGCAATACCATTTTTCTAAATTTCATAATCTGGCTTTATGAGTTCCCCAAACCTGGGTAATTTGAAAACCAGTTACTTCATCTTTTAATTTGACAGATTTCTAAAGTGTGAGAAAAAAAATAGAGTGTTGCAAAATAATTATATATGTGACTATCTAGCTATTGTTTTATTTTAAGTAAAAGATACAGATCATTAATTGCAAGTATAAAAACATATTTAAGTGTGAGAAGAATATATTAATTTGGATGGAGAAGTCTTTGCAGAAATATAAATTACAATATGATTTTAAACCAGATTTGCTGTCTAAGAAATATTTATGTGAATACTATGATATTGATAGCTGTTGCCATCATTATTTACATGATCCTGGCTAACACATTTAATATTATTCTTTGTACAATGGGAACATTCCCCACCTTGGTGAAATTAT